GTAAGGGCAGTGAAGATTTAGGTGTTCAGAATAATCTTCACAGGCTTTGCTTGTTTTTACCTATCCTTCTTGAAAGGCTTTCAAAATATTAAAAGGGAATTGAGTATTATGATCTAAATATTTGGTTACTACAGCCATATCTGCATTAGGGGGCACCCCAAGCCCAACAATGCTGTGGTTCTTTCAGACTCATAGTGGTACCACTTTGGTGTTCTTTGATAAGATCTGGGAGAATTTCCTCGATTAACAGGCAGAAATTCTTGTTCTCTTCCCTTAATTTTTCTGAAACCATCAGAATCTCTCTCTTCATGTTGAGCTGCCTGGAGTTGTGGTAGGGATGACACAAGAACCTCTGTGACTATCACCACTACATCTGCACTGGGTCAGACCCAACGTCAATAGAGCAACATGCCTTACCTAAGGCCTGAGGCAACCACTGCCTGGCTAGGACTAATTTAAGGCCCATGGACTCTTCAATCAGCAGGTGGCAAATCTATTCAGTCTTGTATCCTTTCCTTTGTGCAATAGGATCCCCTTATCCTGGAATAGGTCCAGAAATTGTGGAAGCCAGGACAACCTTAGGAATCTACTTGGTGCTTTATTCTATTGTAGCTGAGCTGGTATCCAAGCTGCCAGACAAAGTCTTTTCCATTTTTCCCTACCTTTTTTCATGCAGAAGGAGTCTCTCTCTGTGGCTACCACGACACCAGGCCCTTGGCAAAAAGTGCAAAGCTATCAGTGATCTTCACTCAAGGCCCGGGACTCTTGAGTCAACTTGTGGTGAATGATGTCAGGCCTGGTTCTCTCCTTTCAGGGCAGAAGGATTCCTTCAGGTTCAGGTCAGGTATAGAAATGCCATCCAGGAGCCAATGCCTGGAAGTGGGGACCCTAAAAGCTCCCTTGGTATTGTCACCTTACTATGGCCTAGCTGATATCTAAGTTGCAAGACCACATCCCCTTTATTCCCCTTTCCTTTCCTCAAGCAGAAGGAGTCTTTTCCCATGGCCACCACATCTGGGAATGTACTGGGCCACATCTTCAGCCAGCATGGCCCTCGGTCCCTCTCAAGGCTTGCAGTGAGTACTGCCTGGGTACTGCTGATGTTTATTAAAAGTTCAAAGGCTTTTTAGTCAGCCGGCGATGAATCCTGCCAGGACTTGGTTCTTCCTTTCAAGGCAGTGGATTACCTTCTGGCCTAGGTTGTGTCTAGAAATGTTACCTGGGATCTAGGGACTGGAAAGGGGGCCTCATGACTCTGCCTGGTGCCCTATTCTACTGTGGCTCAGTGGGTATCCAAGTTACCGGACAACATTTTCTTTTCTCTCTCTCCTCTTCCCCAAGCAGAAAGAAGTTTCCCTTGGAGCTGCAAGCTGCACTGCCTAGGGTTGGGGGTGGGTTGATGCAAGGACTTTCTTGGCTTGCCCAGCTGGTGTTTAACTATGTCACATACCTCACAAGTCCTTTCACTCCAAGCTCAACACAACACCAGGTATTCCCCAGGAAGTCTTATGACCTAGACTGCCTTTCACATTTATTTAGAACTCCAGAGCACTTTAGACTGTGGCAGCAGGGTTTGCTGGAACTCTGGTTTTGACCACTAGAAAAGCAGCTATATTGTCTGGGGTATATACCTTAGGGTTCATCGTCTCATGCCAGGAAAATTTAGGACATGGACATGTGCTCTCCAGACCAAGGGCAGAGAGAGACAGACCTGGAAATGCCATGTGCTCTCCAAACCAAGGGCAGAGAGAGACGTTCACTGTGCGGGTGGAGGGGGGACTCTGTTCTTAGATCACAAATACGCCTTCCCTTGAGCTATATCCCTGGTTATCACAAAATTCTTTAATCTTGCCAAACAAGATTACTTCCATGAACTGTAAAACTTCCCACGTATTGCATACACAAAAAGGATAAGAGATATGGTGGTCATGAACAAGAAAAGAGGAAATTATGAGAGAAAAGTTGGAGAATCTGTTGCTGACTCCCCATTGGGCAATCAGAGGCTGGGGTCAGTCCAGTAGCCTTTGAATAACACTGCGGGTAGCTTCAGCCAGAAATCTTCAGTTGTCCCAGGAGTTCTTCCAGCTCCATGTGATGGCTGGGTCCTTCATGAAAAGAAGCTGATTTAAGCATGGCCAATGTGCCTAGTAACCTGTGGGTACTGTGAGATTCTCCATGTTTTCCCTCACAAGCCTGTCCCCCAAGTCTTGTAAGGCTGGCATCCATGCTAATCATTTTTAAATGGCTGAAGGAAGCCCAGTATTTGGTTTGATTTGGTTCTAAAATGGAAGCCAAGAGTCTCAAAATGAAGGCACAGAGTTGGAGTCTGCTCCTCTACTCACTGTTTCAATGAATGTTGCACCTTGGTATCCCAAATGAGGCCCAGTATGAAATGGCTATGTTGTCTGGGGTATATCCCCTGGGGTTCATTGTCTTGTGCCAGGAAAATTTAGGACACAAACACACACAAGTAGTTGAGGAGTGGAGGCTTAATAGGAAGAAGAGAAGAGAAAGAAAAACAGCTTTCTCTAGAGAGAGAGGGGTCTCTGAGTAGAAAAGACTGGCTGGTGGTGGATGTGCTGGGTTTTATAGTCTGACTTGAGGAGGCAGTGTCTGGTTTACATAGGGTTCGCAGATTGGTTCAATCAGGTATGATGTTTACATAGCACATGCTGAAGGCTGGTTGCCCAACCCTAATCTTATTATGCAAGTAAATTCTCCTTGGCCATCTTGTCTTCTCCTTCCTGTACATGTGGTTGATTGAAAAGGGATGATGAAGTTGCCATCTTGAATGTGTCTAGTCCCTAGTTCCTGCTGGCATTCACCCGTGCAAGCTCCCAACTTGCTTGTTTATGTCTGCAGCTCAACTTTACAGGCTTCTCTTTGTTAGAAAATGGTTTTGGGCTGCTTTTCATTAAAAAGAAAAGCCTTACCAAGGACTCACATGCCTTTACTATCTGCCTAAGTGATTTCTTCTTAACTCCTATATCACTAGGATGAATTACTCTCTGGCTAGGGCTGGTCTAAATGTTCCCTCTAAATTCTGTCCCATGTTGCCTTCTGTTGTGACAGGGCAGCACTGAATACTAATGCAAAGTCCCAGAATCACTGCAGTCTCTCCCAAGCACACAGATTGTCTCTCCATGCCATGTGGCCACCACTGTAGGTTGAGAGAGGGGTGGTGTTGGTAACTCAAAATGGTTCATACCTTCTTCTGTGTTTATTTCCCCTTGATATGATGTTAAAACCAGGTACTGTGATCACTCACCTGATTTTTGGTTCTTGTGAAAGTGCTTCTTGTATAGATAGTTGTTCAACTTTTTTGTCCCTATGGGAGGGACAATGACTGGATGTTTCTGTTCATCCATCTTTGTCTTTTTCTTTTTGTCAGAACATTTAGATATAAGGGTGTTTATGTACTTTCCCATGAAAGGGACATATATGTAAGGCAACCATCAAATGAAGAAAACTCTGATAAAGGAGGAGACAGACAAGTCCAACTTAGTATTATAGGGTGGTTTTATTGGGAAACTTATGGACAAAAATGTGGTCTTGGGTGGCCACAAAACAGGTAGATTTCTACACCATCACTCCCCAGACCCAGAGACTAAATGCTGTAGGGGAGGGTCATACATACTTCTGATAGAATTGGTAGGATTTTGTCCCAAGGTAGAGTTTACAGTAAGTATAAGTTTATCAAGTTTGATTTGCTCTAACAGCAGGATTTATAGTAAGTACTGTGCTCTTACACAAGGAACAATAAATAAACGAAGTCTCAGAGGCATTCCTGGAACTCAGTTTAATTAGAAGTCAACATGTTAGATTAGCGTCCAAGATGGAATTACTTTAGCGTCCACAGGTGCACAAAATAAATATATTCAGTCTTGTGATTTGCAGGACAAAGTAATAGTGCACATTATGTACTTAGAAAATTTGGCTTTTATGAAGTTAGAAAGAAATACAAAGGAGGAATTAGGTTTTTCTTTTTTGACAGAATTTGTCCAGTGTGCCATTACTTTGCAATACCAAGGGATCAGGATTGTATCTCAGTGTACTGAAGGGTCAGGTTTTATTTTTTTTAGATTAGCCCCAACTGTTATCCTAGACCCTCAACAGGATTTCTCCGTTGATTTCTACAAATGAACACATTGTATCTGACACACTAAAGCTGTTTTCCAGATCCTGTTTTCTAGTGTTCTTCAAAGTATGATCTGTAAACCACCAATATCAGAATAGCATGGGTATTTGTTGAATATGTAGATTTCTGGGTTTTACCCCAGACTTATTGGGTCAAAAATATCTGGTGGTAGGGTCCAGAAATATGCATGTTTTAACACATACTTCTATTTCAATAACCACTGCTCAGTACTTTATGTTGTATTGCCTCTTTTTAGAATATTCTTTTTCTAATCCTTGCCTATGGAACTCCTGCCTTTTCCTCATGGCCCAGTGGAAGGGGCATCTCCTCAGTGAAGCCGCCCTGATACAATTCCTTCATTCCCAACAGATAAAGCCCTTTTTGGTGGCTATGGAAGGGGGAACATGAAGGCCTCACAACTGGGGTACAGGGAAGAGTTGAGGGAACTGAAATTGAATAGCGCAGACTAGGTTAGAAAGAGGACTCTGAGTTTTATAGGAAAATTTTGTCCCCAGGTTTTGCACTTGAGTTTTATGCAAAGGAGAGAAGTTAGATAAACCAACAACAAAGTAACAATAGATCTGATTGATCAGAGCAGTGAATTCCAGCCCCATAGCAACCATGTTTGAGAAGGAGGCTTAGTTATGCATATCAGGACAGGGAAGTAGGAGGAAAAAAGAGACAAAATGCCCACTTGATGACAGCCTCAAGGGTAGAGTAAGGAGGGATAAAATTATTTTAAGGAGTTCATAAAACACAGAAAACTGATTAAATATGCTACTTGTATATTTATATAGCATTTTCAAATTTACATACCCTGGAAATCACTTACTATTTGTCACTGTGTTTTCTCAATTATCAGGTAGAGAAGAAAAGCTGTTGGCATGTGAAGATCTGAGAAAATATGTGGTGAGGAGAAGTTCTCACATTTTCTGAAAACAGCTGGAAACTATTAAACTAGCTATGAGATACCATAATGTAGAAGCAGTTTGAAATAGTCCATATTAGAGGCATTCTGAAATCAGTCATTGCTTGTCAGTTAGCTGTTGATATCTGAAGTTGTCTTCCGGTGAAAGGTAATTGCCATTCAACACGCTGGCTGTTTTACTTCTGCTTCTGCTGTATTATTGGCAAGTCACAAAATGGCATTAATACACAGAAAATTAATAATAGTGACATCAGAAATGATCAGAAAATCTACAAATTGAATGACAATAAGAACATTAAAGTTCACAAGCTAGTGGAGGTGGAATACATTGAAAGTTTACTTTGTTTAAAGAGGGATATTAGGTATAATCGTTTTGCTCTTTAAAAATCAATACTCTAAATACCACAAGTTTTGCAGTCAGTTTGCTTGGGTGGAATCAGTGGAAATTGAACACAATTCTCAGAAATGCTTTTAGTAGGTGATAGCTGGTGTAGGAGGAAAAATTGTGGTGGGAAAATGTTACAGAGAAAAAAAGATGTTGTTTAAGGCTGAAAGCAATTCACTCTTAAAAGAAATTTGCATTTCATAACACGTCTTCACTAGTACATGACATGCTATGCTTCATCTACTTTGTAGATCAACTCTGCATTATTTTGGTCAATGAGCTAGTTGGAGCAGGTGAAAACCGGGTAGTCAAAGTGAGGAAATTAAATTATTTATTTGTCTGACTTTATATTATAATTTTAAAAGTGATTTCACCCTTATAGCTTTGTAGAAGACAGAAATGTTCTTTTAAAATATGTACTGCTGATTTTCAAAATGGTAAAGCTTTGGCAGCAAAGGTACTAAGTGGCACTGATTTAAACATCTTGGGGACTATTATATTCATTTAAAACTTTGAATAAGAGAGTATTTTTCTTAAATAAAATTCTATCACTCTCAAGTACACTTGATGCTACTGTTTGTTCTTTCACTTATTTAACACATTTTTGCATCTACATGCCAGGCACTTTTCTAAATGCTAGGAATATAGCAGTGAACAAAACAGAGAAAACTGGGCTTGTATTCTAGTGGAGAAAGACAAAAACAAACAGTTGAAATATGAAATACAATGTAAAATTGTAAATATTAAACAAATTTGCTTAATAGGGATCCTTAGAGGAGCTGCCTTAGTAAGTAGCTAATGATCTGTAATTTTCATATCCATTTGCATATGTTATTGGTGAACAACAGGCTGTTTCTAATAGTTGGTAGATAAGAAATACATATATGCATTTTGAAATTTTGTCTATGTTATTTTGTATACCAACCTTTTTTTCAAATGATCGGATTTTCACATTATTACCCATCAGTCTATAGAATATATATTTGTCTTTTGTTTCATGGTATATTAAGGAAAAATCTTAACTTTCAACCTTTCCATTAGATCAAAGGTGAAATCTTTAAAACATGTAAAGAGTTTCTTCAGCTTGCTAAAGAAAGAAGAAATAAAGGCAAATGTAATTTAGACAAGTCTTTGGAAGATACATATTATTACTGTGATTAGAAAAGACAAAACTTACTGCTTCTGTTGACTTTTAATTAGAGGCCAGAAGAGAATACTCTTCATGTACAAATAAACTTTTAAAGTCTTTCTTCTGAAGTCTCTTTGTTTATCCCATAGCCATTGACTGAGCATACACTATCTGCAAAGCACTATGCTAGAAAAGTGTGTGTATGTGTGTGTGTGAGAGAGAGAGAGATAAAGAGACAGAGATTAAGAGGGCAAGAGAAGGGAATGAATGAAGAAGGGCAGGAATAAAGTGTATGAGTTGAGTCAGTTTTCAGTATGGAGGAATACACAGGTAAGTAGAATAAAAATATTAAAATAAATTTTCTGTAAAAAAAATTAAAATAAGTTTTATGTGAGTTCAAAGAAGAGACTTGTTATTTCTGCCTGGAAGGACTGGAGAAAGTTTCATACAGGAAGATGTCTGAATTTTACCTTTTATTTTTGTGTCATATTAAGTTGAGACTAGATACTTTATTATTATTTGATAAATATCAAAATGTCCAGCAGCAAAAAAATTTATACCTTCTTCACCCTGCTACAGGGCTTTAAATTCCCATTATTACTTGATTCTTTGGAAGCTTGTTATAGCCCAATTGTGGTTAGATTAATGGAAGAACATTTAAAACTATTTGGCTCCCATTAATGCCTAAATTGGGATTTGTTTCTCAAACCATGAAGAAAATATATTTTTTTGAGGGGATAGGACACAGAACTTGGAGGTTCTACTTGTCAGGGTGGTGGGAAAAGGGGGTCAAGAATGGTCTAGAATGGTAGCCTAGAAGAAGGATCTTGGCCTGGGTAGGGAGATGGCTGCATGAGTTTTCTGGGTCCTTGTTGCTGAGGAATACAGAAAGACAAAAGGCAAACTTAGAACTTTGCCTGAACACCGAATCCCCTTCCAGTGTTCTCTATCTCAGTGAATGGCAACTTAATCCATCCACTTGTACAGCTGAACATCTAGTGGTAGCTATAGGTTGGAAACTGATGTGCCCTTTTCTTTTTTTCTCTACTCTGTTTGCCATGAAGGAGATACTGGTTGGAAGCTTCAGGCATGGCTGAAAACAGCTGAAGTTTCTTTTTTGATATATTGATATGGCAGCTAAAAGTCAATATTGCATGCAAGAAAATTGTAGAATGAAGATTCTTTGAGTGTCATTCTACAACTCCATATTACCATGGTAATCCTCAGAAACACTCATTAGCTCCAGAAAGCTTTTGATTCTGAGACAGATTCAGGGTATCCTAAACATCATTGTTTACTTCTCGCTCAAAGGGAATCAATACTATTTTAAGAAATGATGATCATTGAGGTTTTATGAAGCAAAATGATTTTGTTTTTATTTATATTGTTATTTTTATGCTAAATTTTTGTGAGTACATAGTAGTTGTATATATTTATGGGATGCATGAGATATTTTAATGTAAGTATGCAATGTGAAATAAGCACATCATGGAGAATGGGCTATCTATCTCATCAAATGTTTATCCTTTGAGTTACAAACAATACAAATGCATTCTTTATTTTAAAATATACAATTATTATTGACTATATTCACTCTACTGTGCTATTAGTAGTATGTCTTATTCTTTCTTTCTATTATTTTATAGTACCCACTAACTATCCCCATCTCCCATCCCAGCTGTCCACTACCCTTCCTAGTCTCTGGTAACCATCCTTCTACTCTCTATGTCCATGAATTCAACTCTTTCAATTTTTATTAGAACTGATAAACAAATTTAACAAAGTTGCAGGATACAAAAGCAACATACAAAAATTAGTAGCATTTCTTTGTACCAACAGTGAACAGTGTGATAAAGAAATAAAAATATAATTCCATTTACAATAGCAACATGTGAAATTAAATACTTAAGAAATGACTGAATAAGTGAAAGATCTCTACAATGAAAACTATAAAACATTGATGAAGGAAGTGGCGGAGGACACTAAAAACAGATTCTCTCTTCTGTTCCATGGATCTATGTATCTGGTTTTATGCCAGTACCATGCTGTTTTGGTTACAATAGCACTGTAGTATAATTTGAAGTCAGGTATTGTGAAAAGTCAGTTTTGTTCTTTTTAGTTAGGATAGCTTTAGCTGTTCTGAGTCTTTTGTGGTTCCATATAAATTTTAGAGTTGTTTTTTCCATTTCTGTGAATAATGTCACTGGTATTTTGATAAGGATTACATTGAATCTGTAGACTGGTTTGTGTAGTATGATCATTTTAACAATATTGATTTTCTAATCCACGAACATGGAATATTTTTATATTTTTGGTGTCATCTTCAATTTCCTTCATTCATGTTTTATAGTTTTTGTTATAGAGATTATTTACTTCCTTGATTAAGTTAATTGCTAGGCATTTATTTTATGTGTGGGTATTGTAAATGGAATTGCTGCTTTTGATTTATTTTTCAGATTGTTCACTGTTGGCATATAGAAATGCTCCTGAGTTTTGTATGTTCATTTTGTATCCTACGACTTGACCGAATTTGTTTATAAGTTCTAACAGTTGTCATGTGTAGTCTTTAGGTTTTTACAAATATAAGATTATATCATTAGCAAACAAGGATAATTTGACTTCTTCCTTTCCAATTTGGAGGCCCTTTGTATTTTTCTCTTGTCTGACTGCTCAGGCTAGGACTTCCAGTACTATGTTAAATACTGGTGGTGAAAATGGGCATTGTTGTCATGATCTTAGAGGAAAGGCTTTCAGTTTTTCCCATTCAGTATGATACTGGGTGTGGATTTGTCATATGTGGCTTTTTATTTTGTCGAGATATGTTCCTTCTTTTCCCAGGTTTTTGAGGTTTTTATCATGAAGGGATGTTGAACTTTATCACAGGCTTTTTTTGGCATCAATTGGAATGATCATATGGTTTTAATCCTTCATTCTGTTGATATGATGTATCATTTTGATTGATTCTTGTATGTTGAACTGTCCTGGCATGCCAGGGATAAATCCCACTTGGTCATTATGAATGATCTTTCTAATGTATTGTTGAAATCAGTTTGCGAGTGTTTTGTTGAGTATTTTTGAATCAATATTCATCAGAATATTGTCCTATAATTTTCTTTTATTGATGTATCTAGGTCTGGTTTTGATATCAGGGTAATACTGGCCTTGTAGAATGAGTTTGGAAGTATTCTCCCCTCCCCCTCTATTTTTGGGAATATTTTGAGTAGAATTGGTATTAGTTGTTCTTTAAATATGTGGTAGAATTGAGTCATGAAGCCATTGGGTCCTGGGCTTTTTTTTTTTTACCAAGAAACTTTTTATTATGGCTTTGATCTCCTTGTTATCAGTCTATTCAGGTTTTGGATTTCTTTTTGGTTCATGCTTGGTAGGTTATATCTGTCTAGGAATTTGTCTATTGCTTCTAGATTTTCCAATTTATTGGACTATATTTGCTCATAGTAGCCACTGATGAGCCCTTGAATTTCTGCAGTATCACTTGTAGTGTCTCCCTTTTCATTTCTGATTTTATTTATTTGGATTTTTTTTTCTTTTTTTTTCTTAGTCTGGCTAAAGGTCTGTCAATTTTGTTTAACTTTTCAAAAAAGCAGCTTTTTGCTTCATTAATCTTTTGCATTTTCTCATTTTAATTTTACTTATTTTGGCTCTGATCTTTAATATTTCTGCTAATTTTGAGTTTTGTTTGCTCCTGCTTTTCTGATTCTTACAGATGCACTGTTTGACTGTTTATTTGAAGCTTTCCATATTTTTATATAGGCACTTATACATGTCCCTCTGGTTATTGCTTTTGCTGTATCCCATAGATTTTGGTCCACTGTGTTTCCATTATCATTTGTTTCAAGAGATTTTTTAAATTATCTTCTTAATTTCTTCATTGACCCAGTGGTCATTCAGAAGCATATTGTTTAATATATGTATGTTTGTATAGTTTTCAAAATTCTTCTTATTACAAATTTCTTGTTTGATTCCATTGTGGTCAGAGGAGATATTTGATATTATTTCAATTTTTCAAATATTTTGACTCATTTTGTGACTTAACATATGGTCTATCCTTGAGCATGAAAAATGTATATTAGGTAGCTCTTGGATCCAGTAGAATCCACCAAATATCTACTGGATTCATTTGGTCTATACTGTAGATTAAATCTGAGTTTCTTTGTTGATTTTGTGTCTGGAAAATCTGTCCAATGCTGAAAGTGAGGTGTTGAAGTCTCCAGTTATTATTTATTTGGGCCTATGTCTCTCTTTAGGTCTAATAATTTTTTTATGTATCTGGGTGATCCAGTGTTGGGTACATCATATATATTTAAAATTGTTATATCCTCTTGCTGAATTGACCAGTTTATCATAAAATAGTAACCTTCTTTGTCTCTTCTTATAGTTTTTGTCTTGAAATCTTTTTTTTTTTTGTATATAAGTATAGTGATTCCTGCTCTTTTTTGGTTTCCATTGCCATGGAGTATATTTTTCTATCACTTTATTTTTAGTCTATGTGTGTCTTTATAGTTGAATTGTGTTTCTTATAGGGAACAGTTCAATGGGTCTTGTTCTTTTATTCATTCGGCCAGTCTATGTTGTTTGATTGGAGAGTTTAGTCCATTTACATTCAATGTTATTATTGATAAGTAAGGACTTACTCCTGTCATTCTGTGGTCCTTTTTTTTTTTCTTCCTTTTTTCCTCTAGTGAAGATGATTTCCTCTGCTGATATGATTTGTTTTCTTGCTTTTTATTTCTTTGTGTGTGTATCCATTGTATGTTTTCTTGGTTTGCGATTACCATGAGGCTTGCCAATGCTATTTATGACTCATTATTTTAACCTGATAACAACAACACTATTTGTATATGCAAACAAGAAGCAAAACAAAAACTAAAAATAATTATGTGCTTTAACTTCATCCCCCCACTTTTTAACTTTTTGTTGTTTCTATTTACATCTTATTGTATTGGCTGTGTCTTGAAAAATTGTCAAAGTTATTATTTTGAGTGTGTTCACCATTTAGTCTTTCTGCTTAGGATAAAAGTAATTTACACATCACAGTTACAGTGTTATAATATTCTGTGTTTTCTGTATACTTACTATTACCAATGAGTTTTGTACCTTC